CACCCGCCGTGGTACGCCGTGCGTGAGTGTGAGTGAGTGGAGTAGAGTGCAGTGCCGAGCGGTGCCGCGTACCGTGAACTGCTCGGACTCGGAGCCATTCCTTCAAGTGATCGCCCGCCCGCTAGCGCCTGACCGGACCAGGCAGGACCGTCGTTACCGTCTTGTTCATTTCCTTTTCAGCACCGGAACCCCTCTCACCACAGACGGATTACATCGGAGTGCAGGATTTTGTGCCTTTCAGTGACGGATTTCCTCTGCAACCATGCCTGCCGATAAGGTTAGTTCTCCGGACCTGTCATCACAACCACCTTGTAGAGAAGTGCAAGCGCAGAGCCCCTCGGCTTGTGTTGTGTTAGCAAAGCTTGCGCCTAGGCCTAGAAAGGCTGGAGTACATCGCCCTCGCTTTTTTCGAGTTGTTAAGTCGCCTCTGCTGCTGCTGCGAGCGAAATCTCATTTGCTGGAAAAACATTGAGCTGCTGACTGGAATGCGACGAGTTGTCGATGAGGGTGCGCCCCGCACAGGAGACAGGCAAAGGAAAAGCTCGCCCCTGGTCAACTTCTAATAAATAAAAGCATATTTAATTCAGTGCAAACCTTTATTTAAATGTAGGCAAGTTTATTTGAGCATTGTTTGGGACAATGTAGTGGGTGAAGTGCCTAGTACGCAAAGTGGCCTGTTTTTCTGTGGATTACCACCTGGAAGATGCCCGTGGAACGATGAACAGTACGGACGGACAAGTGCAAAAGTGATTAAGACAATCGTGGCGCTAGTACCCGCCTTAACAAGGACTGTGTCGAGCGGGAGAGGAACAAACTCAGCAGAAGGCTGCGCAGAGGTTGGCAGCGCCGGGCGGCACGCCCAGCGCTCGGCTCGGCTCGACACGGCCCGGCTGGGCTCGGCTGCTCAGCTCGACCCGGCTCGGATCGGCCGTAGCAAGTGTCAACATCTGTGGGAAAAAGGGCTTCCTTGGGCTGCGGGCAGCCGCAGGCAGCCGCAGGTGACTCCCGCGGCCCCCCCGGGGACGTCCCGCAGGGCGGGCCAGGCCTGCGGCGGGCGGGGCGGACAGTTTCTGCTGCCGTTTGCAGGTTAAGTTCCCCCATGAGAAAAATCGATAGCTGATGGCATGTGCTGCTGGCCCGGGGATAGGCTTGGCGCCCGCCCGCCCGCTGCTGCCCTGCTGCCCCACGCCCCTCCCGCGCCACGCCCCGCCGCCCCGGCGGCATGGCCCGGGCCGTGGCGAGCCGGGCGCGAGCGCCTGCCCGGCGCGGGTGACCAGGTCGCAGACGAGGGTTCGCGAATTTTGGATTCGGACCGGTGTCGAGGCAGGACTGGTTCCAGCGGTACTACAGCGAACCGTAGAAGCTCTTTGCAAAATACTGTCCAGAGAGAGATGGCGAAACCCTTCATTACAGGAAACTCCGTCGAAAATTTGGCATAGTAACGTTACGAAGAAATTCCTCTCTTTGCATTTTATTGACAAAATAACTGTCCGTGAAGCTCATTCGATTGGCCGTGTATGTGGCTCACCCCTTGGCACACCGCTAACATGGGCGCAGCGCGCGTTTAGTTTCCCGGCGGATCACTTTA